GGTCAGATTCAAATCATTATCTTAAAAGTAAAAAAATACACTTATACTTGATTTAACGCCACTAAATTGAAAGGCTAAATACCTATAAATTTAAATTTTAAAATTAGTATCCAATCAAATTTAAATTTTTTGAATGTATAGATTCATAATTTCTAACTCTGTCAGTTTCACTTTCTAACTAGCTATTAGAGTTATAAGTCTAGTACAAACAGGGACGGAGCTAGTGTAGGACAGGGGGAGCAGCCGGCCCCCTAAGCTTTTGAAAAATGTTAAACATGGTATGTCAAATTTTATTTTCTACAAAATTTTATACTTGAAATTAATTTAAATTATAGGGGTCATTCAAATATAAAATAAAATATTTAGGATTTAAGTAAGGAAATCATTTTTCTTTTTTCTGATTAATTTTTATAAAGATATGATAATTTTATTTAGGTAAAAATAAATATAAAAAATAATTAACAGATGCCTTCAAAAAAGTGATTAATATTAAAATATGAAAAATTATAAAATTGTGTGACATCTTATAGTAAATACTAAAAAAAATTAAGCAAAAACCATTTAAGAAGTACGGAATGGGATCGTTTTCGAACACAAGTTCTGCTGCCTACTACACAAACGGAATGCTTAGCTTGTGGCTGGCAGTTGTTCCCAAAGTTCTCGGTAAAAGTATGCCATAAACAATTTTATGGGTAAGAAAATGGATTTTTTGGCGTATTGTGGGGGTGATAATCTGATGGGGTTTAGGAGTGCATTGGGCCGGTTGGCAGGAAAAAGAGAAACCGAAGCCATAGTTTAGTTGGTGGACCTTAAAGTCTTTTTCGATCGACTGATTTTTTACAATTTGGGTTTTATTATTATTATTATTATTATTATTTTGATTGTACAATAAAAAATAATTATTTTTTATTTTTTATTTCATTTCATTCATATGTCATGTTATTCAAATTTAAAACTTTTTAATTTTAACAAAAATAGATAGATACTGAATTATTTAAATCGTTGACTTATCAATTTGTTAATGGGTTGCAGATATGCTAATTATTCCAATCTATGACTCCACTCAATCTCCGCATTGCTAATTGGTTTTAGCACGTTCTTTGGGCCACGACTTTGGTCCACGAGTTTGGTTTTTGTCTGGATAAACTGTGGCTTGTCGCACGCCTATTTCTTTGCCTATGTCTCTGCCTTCACTTTATTTAATTATAATCAAGTCTATTGTTTTTTTTTTATATATATATACATTTAAAAAAATGAAAATTAAGATATTATATTACTTTAAATATTAAAATTTTTTGTAAAATTATTTAAATATCATTAATGAATCTTCTTTATGTGTTAATTTATTAAAAATATTTTAATTTTTTTATTATCGTTCTTGATATTTTAAGTGTTAAAATATTTTGATTTTTCTCAATTTCTTTTTTATTTTCGGAATAGGTGGGTATTTAGGTCTTCAATAGTATTAATCTTATGAATGCTTATAAATTTCATCACTTTTTATTAGTAATTATAGTGTTCTTAAGCTAATTTACATATATTAATAATAATATTTTTAAAAATAATCTTATAAAATTTTTAAAATTTTAATTTCAGAACTGAAATTCTAAATTTAGTTTATAAATGGACAAATCTTTTATCTTGGAAGTTATATATCGCACTAGAAAAGTAGATGTCCCAAGAGGATACCCTAATTGGATTTTGGATTGGACGTGCATTGAGGTTGATGGTTTTACCTCACTGAGATTCTATTGAGCCAGTCCATTAGAAGATCTATGGAACGTTATCCATAAAGGCCCACGTTGATTCTGTGTGCCTGAGAGGTGGTATGCCAAAATCGGAGTTGCCATCAAAGGGGACAAGCAGCCCGCGTGCGCAAAATCTTACTTTTAATCCTTTGTCTTGTTAAATTTGAAAGTTTTAGCTCTTTACTTTATATTATGATATTTTTTTAATCTTTAATCTTATTACATTTGTAAGTTTTAGCCCCTCATCTTATACTATGATACTTTTAACCCCTCATCTATTAAAACTGAAAAATATAACCCTTAATTTGTAACATTTTATTGGTTCTATTAGTTGATTGTTAACTCTATTAGTTGATTGTTAACTCTATTAGTTGATTGTTAACTTTATTAATTGACTGTTAGTTAATTGTTAGTTGATTGTTAACAGTCAAAAACTTTTTTTCAGTTAACAGAGTTAACAAAACTAACTTTATAATATTTCGTTAATTTTGTTAATTGACTATTAGTTGACTGTTAATTAAGAAAAATCTATTTTCAGCTAACAGAGTTAACAATTAGTATAAAGTAAGGGCTATTTTCTTCGATTTTAATAGGTGAGGGGCTAAAACCTACAAATCTACTAAGGTAAGGGGTTAAATGTGTCATAGTATAAGTTAAGGGGCTAAAACCTTCAAATTTGGTAAAATGAGGGATTAAGTAAGGTTT